AAAGTATTGTATAAAATACTCCAAACTAAACTCATGTCTGGTAAAAAATACTCTGAGAAAATGTATGTAGGGAGAAATACCCATCTCACAGTAAGATATCTATTATTATTTTACTCTATTATTGAAAAAACATTTGCAACATAACTGATAGGATATAATGAACAGAAATCTGGTTTCACCAGGATTGAGAATATTTCACCTGAGAGTTTCCAGGTTGCAGTTTGGACTCTTCAGTCCAGCAGAGAGAAGCTTCACTCCTGAATCCTGCAGGTTGTTGTTACTCAGATCCAGTTCTCTGAGACTGGAGGACTGAGAGCTGAGAACTGAGGACAGAGCTTCACAGCTTCTCTCTGAGAGGTTACAGCCACTCAGTCTGAGGAGACAGGGAAGAAAATCTGTTATTAAACAATTCATAAAAAAATATTTTACTTTCCAATCAATTATGTTCTTTTTTGAAAGATTGAAGGAACTATCTATTGTTGCACATATTTATGTTGCCTTTTGTTGTGAATTGATTTGGTCAATGGTTGGGTCACAATCTTTGAAGGTCTGATCTAAAAAGAACAAGGAGGCTGGAAACAAAACTTTTGAATTCCACAATAAAAATAAATTCAACCAGTCTCAGTTTTAGCAGAAAGATGAGTTTTGCTTCTTTAATAATGTATAATGATGATGGGGATGTTATGGTGATAATTTTACATATTAATAGACTTTCTTCCTGATGTATCACTCTGGACAACATCTGGGAGGCAATGCATCAATAAATAAACTAAAACAACATGAATCAATATTTAGAACATCATTAAATGTTTTCACTTCATCAATAACAACTGCAGTAACAATCTGTGTCCTTACAGAGCTTTGTTGGAGGCTTTAACCACAAGCAGAAGCCTCAGAAGAACCTTCTCTGAAGCAGAGTATTTCTTCAGGTCAAACACATCCAGATCTTTTCCTGATGACACTAAGATGAAACCCAGAGCTGACCACTGAGCAGGAGACAGTTTATCTGTGGAGAGACTTCCTAAACTCAGAGACTGTTGGATCTCCTTCACTAGAGAACGATCATTCAGTTCATTCAGACAGTGGAACAGATTGATGCTTTTCTCTGCAGACACATTCTCATTAATCTTCTCCTTGATGTACTGAACTGTTTTTTGATTGGTCTGTGAGCTACTTCCTGTCTTTGTCAGCAGACCTTGTAGGAGTCTCTGATTGGTCTGCAGTGAAAGTCCCAGGAGGAAACGGAGGAACAAGTCCAGGTGTCCATTTGGACTCTGTAAGGCCTGGTCAATAGCTCTCTGATGGAGAGATTGTAGGTCAGATTTATTCAGAAATGAAGATTTCTTAGATCTTTGTGTTTCTTTCATCAGGTTGACACCAGAGTTGATGAAGGTCAGATGAACATGAAGAGCAGCCAGAAACTCCTGAACACTCAGATGGATGAAGCAGAACACCTTATCCTGGTACAGACCTCTCTCCTCTTTAAAGATCTGTGTGAACACTCCTGAGTACACTGAGGCTGCTTTGACATCGATGCCACACTCTGTCAGGTCTGATTCATAGAAGATCAGATTTCCTTTCTGCAGCTGATCAAAGCCAGTTTTCCCAGAGACTCGATCATCTTCCTGCTCTCTGGACTCCAGTGTGGATCTGTTTCAGCTCCTCCAACATACTTGACCTTTTTCACTTTGGTCTGAACCACCAGGAAGTGGATATACATGTCAGTCAGGGTTCTGGGCAGCTCTCCTCCCTCTCTGCTCTCCAACACATCCTCCAGAACTGTAGCAGTGATCCAGCAGAAGACTGGGATGTGGCACATGATGTGGAGGCTTCGTGATGTCTTCATGTGGGAGATGATCCTGCTGGCCTGCTCCTCATCTATGAATCTCTTCCTGAAGTACTCCTCCTTCTGAGGGTCATTGAACCCTCTGACCTCTGTCACCATGCCAACACACTGAGGAGGGATCTGATTGGCTGCTGCAGGTCGTGTGGTTATCCAGAGGAGAGCAGAGGGAAGCAGTTTCCCCCTGATGAGGTTTGTCAGCAGAACATCCACTGAGGTGGACTCTGTAGCATCAGTCAGGCTCTCCTTGTTGTGGAAGTCCAGTGGAAGTCGACTCTCATCCAAGCCATCAAAGATGAACAGAACCTGGAAGTGTTCAAAGCTGCAGATTTCTTTGGTTTCAGTAAAGAAGTGATGAACAAGTTCCATCAAGCTGAACTTTTTCTCCTTCACCACATTCAGCTCTCTGAAGGTGAATGGAAATATGAACTGGATGTTCTGGTGGGCTTTGTCTTCAGCCCAGTCCAGAGTGAACTTCTGTGTTAGGACTGTTTTCCCAATGCCAGCCACTCCCTTTGTCATCACTGTTCTGATTGGTTGATCTCTTCTAGGTGGGACTTTAAAGATGTCTTCCTGTCTGACTGTTGTTTCTGGTCTGTGTGGTTTCCTGGATGCTGTTTCAATCTGTCTGACCTCATGTTCATCATTGACCTCTCCAGTCCTTCCCTCTGTGATGTAGAGCTCTGTGTAGATCTGGTTCAGAAGGTTTGGACTTCCTGCTTTAGCAATTCCCTCAAACACAGACTGGAACTTCTTCTTCAGACCAGATTTAAGTTCATGTTGACAAATTGGAGCAAAAAGTCCTAAATTAACACAATGACAATAATCAGATATGAAAAAGAAATCATCTTTTTGAATTTGATTACATCACTTCAGCAAATGTGTAATTTATAATTTCAATTCTCTTTAGAAATCCTCTTACTGATCTCCAGATGGTCAGCCAGCTTTTCCTGCTTCATCTTCCTCAGGAAGTTCAGTGTGATCTTCATCACTGCCTCTCTGCTGGTCCTCCTCTGTTCTTCATCATCACCTTCCAACACTCATCATCTCTCTGACTCTCTGAATGTTCTGGGTAATCTGGACTCAGAACTTTCTGGATCTTCTTCAGTTCTTTCTTCACAAAAGTAACAATGTTGTCCTCCAGCAGCTGGAACAGAATAATAGATGAAGGAAACATCAGAGTGAAATCATGGAGCCAAACACCAGATGGATGTTGGACAGACTGACAGTCCTCTGGTCTACAAAGTGCAGCATGAAGGTGACTTTGAACAGAACTAATTGAAAAGTATTTGTTGTTCATATACAGACCATAAATATGGAGTCCAGCTGTGTTTGATGCTGCTGGTCAGATGGACCCCTGGGAACCTCTGAGCTCTGCTGGTCCACTCTGTGGAGGAACCAGGAACAATAAGAAAGTCAAGAAATATTCATCTGGATGTGAGCAGTGAACCAGGTGATCTAAGTAGTTGTAAAGATTTAATGTTCCTGCTGATCCCATTAAGAACCAGCAGAACCTCTGATGGTCCACATCAGCTCAGTTTGGTTGAGTTCCAGCAGATCTCACCAACCACATCATGAAGCTTTCCTTCCCTGCTGAACTGCTCTCACAATGCACACAGGAACCAAGTCCTGATGGACCAGAATGGCTTTACCAGGTATTTCCCAGTGGAAATGTGATCCACTGTTAGTTTGACAAGGAGCCAGGAAGCAACAGAACATCATCATCAACATCCAGAGATAAAGATATGAAGGTGTTTTCATGAGAACAGAGCAGCTGATTTCTGTAGAAAATGGATCAAACCTCTGGAAATATAACTGGAAACATCTGAGTTCTTACTGGTTCAGTTTCCAGAGTTACAGCAATTAGAAACAGCTCACCTCTCTGATGATGGAGATCCAGGAGATTTAAAGTCAAGAGGACGATCCATTGACTCGTCGCTGCTTGTTTCTGATTCTTTTTTTTCTGTGAAACTCTGATGGATTCTGCCAAAAAAAGAAAGTCATTAAAATCTTTCCTTGGAGTTTTGCTTTGAACATATTTTTAATGTGGTTCATTGTAAAATAAAAAAATGTGAGACACAGTAGAACCAGGCAGATCATCAACCTGATGTTCTAAATGATTCCTATCAGAACCGGTCCAATCTTCCAACATGTTCCTGATCATTGATCCTCCTGAATAATGTCCAGCCTTCTTTAAAGAGCAGAAATATTTGTTTCGGAGACCAACATGTTGGTTTGAAATGACTGAGAGAACAGTTTGGTGATCTTAGTGTTGAGCTCTGACATGGAGCAGAACCAGGAATCATTTCCACTCTGACCATCCAAGGAGGATCTGATGGAGCTTCAATCAGAACCAGATGGTCCGTTAGAGACACTGAAGCCCACTGCTCAATCAGATCCACTAAATATTTAGTTTAACTGTAGAAATGGTTGATAATCTGCCATGTTGGATGATGTTTGAACTTCAGAGGTGGAATCATAAAATAATTCATAGAAAATGTTTTATTTCAGAATGAATCTGTCTTTTGTCAGATTTTAGAGAAAGATGCAAATATCAACCTAGAAATAAAATTAATTTCTGTCTATTTGTTCTAGTGTTAATATTAATATCAGACTAAATAAATGAGTGTTTCATTTGGAAAAATTAGACTTAAACAAAACAGAATAAAACACAGTTAAATGTTTCTGGTCCAAATGTCATGTCAACATAATAGTTTATAAGAGTGAGTCCTGACTGAGGATTTATAAGATTCTTTCTGTATGGAGTCAATAACTGTCCAATGAATGATGGTTAAATTGATGTCAGGTAAACATCAGATCAGATTTAGAGATTCTGTTAACTAGTGGAGCTCTGGGTAGAGACTGTGGATCCAAACGGACCTGTTTGATTTTTATACAAAGGATCCAGTTGAACTTTTTTGTGTTCATTGTAACATGTTCATTATTGGTACATGTTTCCATGGAAACATAATACGCATTACATCTTTGACGTATGAAAAGAAAAATAACCTGAAATTCAGTCCAATGTTTTCATGACAACAGAACCCACAGAACTTATCATCACATGGCCACAATAACAGATATAAACAGAAGTTACAGCAGTTAGAAACATCTCACCTCTCTGATGGTGGAGATCCAGGAGATTTAAATTCAATGGAATGATCCATTGACCTGTCGCTCTTAAAGGAGACACAGCTGGGTTCTGGTTCTGGTTCTGATTTGAGTCTCTGATGGATCCTGACAGAAACATGATGATTAAAACTTAATCAGCAAAGAAAAGCAGCAGCAGCTTCATCACCACGTCTGTTCTGGCCTGATATAGTGAACGCTGTGTGAAAAGGGCTGTGGACAGTTAGAGATGGTGACCTCACCTCTGACCTTTGCTCTGGCTCTCATCTTCCCCACACAGAGTGGTTTTAGAGGGAGGGACTCCCTCCTCTCTGTCCTCACTCTGATCCATGTTGCTCAATCCACATCAGCTCACACACACTTTCTAGCTTCACCTGCAGAGGAAACACACATCATTCATCTGCACATCAACTCTGATCATCCTTTACATCATTAGTGCTGGAAAAAGATCAGCTGCTCCTCCTCTGATTGGCTCTTCTTCTCTGCTTCATATCACTGTCAGATGAATGCAGTCAGACAGCAGAGAGGCAGAGGAAGCTGCCATCAGCTGCTGCACTTCTACTATCAGTCCACTAGATGGAGACATGGAGCAACATTTACATTCACTGATTCAACCTGAACAAGTCTTATAGTTCACAATTAGTCATTTCTACAAGTGGATTATTCGCTCCATCAAAGATGAACAATTTAATCATCTGACTGAATCAAACCCTTTTAATAATATTTTATTTTGAAAGGAAGCAACAGGAAACTGTTGCTCACATTAATGGTGGAGACTAGAGTTCAGTACCAGGAAATAAAAACATGAATCAGTTTGGATTAGAAAACAGTGAAATATCAGCTGTTCATCATGTTGATTGATTCCAGTTTATCAATAATCTAATAATCCTGTAGATTAGCCTTCAAACAGCAGATATTAAAGTTTCAGCTGCAATCAGAAGTGAAACTTTTCTCCAAACATCTCAGATTAGAAACAAACAGGAAAAAGTTAAAGTGATGAAAAGTTCAAGAAATAAACAAATCAAACTTACAGTTTGTTCAAACGATCCAAAGAGTTAAAGAAGAAAATTTAAACAACAAACTGAGACCCAAGAAACAGACTGGAGCCACACCTGAACAGGTGAATCCAAACTGAAAGTAAATGTGAAGGATGTTGTATAACTGATGACGTCACAGCTCACCTGGTTTGTTAATTTTCTCCTTCAGAGCAACAGACCAGGAAGTAGAGCTGAGGTGAAATCAGAGGCAGGTTGGAATCTTCATGAGGAAGGAGAGAAGTGCTGATAAAAATGAGGGTGTACTTACTTTTAATGATCATGACTGTAGTGATGATTGATAGTAACAAAAAATAAAGTATTTTAGTTTATTTATCATGTCAGACAAAAAAATGTGAAAATGCATTTTTTAAACTAATATTTTCACCATGTCTTTCAGGCGTTCATGATAAACAAAATATTGCCATCAGCTGCTGCACTTCTACTATCAGTCCACTAGATGGAGACAAGGAGCAACATTTACATTCACTGATTCTACCTGAACAGGAAGTATTTTAGTTTGTTATTTAACTGTACAAGTGGATTATCTGCTCTATCTAATATTAACTAATTAATAATCTGACTGAATTAAACATATTTTAAAATAGCATTATTTTATTTTGAAAGGAAGCAACAGGACTTTCAGAGTTTGTTCCCAGGACATAAAACCAAGAATCAGTTTGTTCAGAGAAGAAAATAAAGAAAACCAGATGTTCAACAGAAAACTACAAACAGCAGAGATTTTAGTTGTTTAGCTGAAATCAGAAGTGAACATTTTGTCCAAACATCAGAGCAGAAACAAGCAGGAATATCCTGATGACAAAGTTCAAGTAGGAAAAACAAAACAAACTTACAGTTTGTTCAAATGATCCAAAGAGTTGATGAAGAAAATCTGAACAACAAGCTGAGACCCAACAGAACCACGGTAGATCCAGACTGGTGCCACAAATAAACAGGTTAGTTTAAACTGAAAGTATTATGAAGAGAAATGAGCCCAGACTGGTCAGACTGGTCTGACTGGTCTAACTGACTCGGAGTCAGAGGAAAGGCAACTTTATTTATATAGCACCTTTCAGCCAAAGACAATTCAAAGTGTTTCTATAAGAAAGTTTAAAACAAATAGAACAAGAAGATAGTAATAATTAATAATAAAATAAAAAGTCAAGCAGATTAAAAATTGAAAAAGTAAACATTACAATTTTAAATATAGTTAATGAATTAACTGTTAATTAAATGTTTAATAGACAACTTCAAATAAGAAAGTTTTTAACCTTGTTTTAAATAAACTCAAGGTAGGCGCAGTCTTACAATGAGCAGGAAGTTTATTCTAAAGTGTTGGAGCATAAAAACTATACGCTGCTTCACCAAGTTTATGTCTGACTCTTGGTTTAGTTAATAGGTTTGATTCTGGTAGTTATATATATGAGTGGTATATATGGTTGAAGAAGATCAGAAATGTAGTCTAGGTTTCTATCATGAAGTGTTTTGTAAATTATTAAGGATATTTTAAATTATATTATTTGAGCAACAGGCAGACAGTGCAGGGATCTCAGAACTGGGCTGATCTGCTGATCTTTTTTGTTTTAGTTAGGACTCTTGCAGCAGCATTTTGGAGAAGCTGGAGCTCTTCTTGCTTTTATTGATAATCCAGTAAATATGGCACTGCAGTAATCGAGTCTACTAAAAACAAAGGAACTAATTTCTCAGTCTTGTGGGGACATGAGTCGTCTAATTTTAGCAATATTTTTAAATGGTAGTATGATGATTTCATGATAGATTTGATGAGGTTATTAAAGTTCAGATCAGGATACATGATCACTCCCAGATTATTGGCTTGTCAGAGCATTTTAATCCGACAGATTGAAGGTGGGTGATTGTTTTTAATCGATGTTCTTTTGGTCCAAACACTAATATTTCAGTTTTATTTTGGTTTAGTTGGAGAAAGTTTTTGCTCATCCAGACATTAATCTGCTCAATACATGTAGTGAATATTTGAACCTGACTGTAATCTCCTGGTGAAAGACTAATGAATAGCTGTGTGTCATTGGCATAGTTGTGGTTTTCTATCTCATTATTTGATATGATTTGACTAATGGAAGCATATCGATATTGAAAAGAATTGGCCCCAGGATGGACCCTTGGGGAACTCCATAGGTAATTTCATTTACCTTGGATTTAAAGCGGAATATTGAAACACAAAAGGTTCTGTCAGACAGGTAAGATTTAAGCCAGCTGAGAAATACACCAGAAATGCCAACTCAATTTTCTCATCAAGATAATAAAATATCGTTATCGACTGTGTTGAATGCAGCACTAAAGTCAAGTAGAACTAATATTGACATTTTATTAGGGTCGGTGTTTAGATGGAGGTCATTGAATATTTTCAGTTTCAGTTGACAGAAGCCTGATTGATGAAACATCAAAACAGTTGTTCAGGGCTAGAAAAACATTTAGCTGTTTAGAAACTATTTTTTCTAATATTTTAGCTAAAAAAGGTAAGTTGATATTGGTCAGTAATCGCTTAGAATTGATGAGTCCAGAATCTGTTTTTTGAGAAAGTGGTTTAACTACCACAGTCTTTAAAGCTTGAGGGAAAACTCCAGAGGAAAGTGAATTATTAATTATTTGTAGAAGATCAGGAGCAAAAACATCTGAGACCTTTAAGAATAAACTCGTAGGTATGATGTCAAGTGAAACAGGTGGATGAACATATGATGTAAAGTGTAACTCAAATGTTTTTGAGTGACCAGGTTAAAGTGGGTCATAGGTAAGTCCTGTTGGTGGAAAACAGTTAATTGTTCCTAACAACAGATGCAGAGGAGTTTATGGTCTCCCTTATTTTCACCATTTTATTTACAAAATAGGTGGCAAGTTTGTCACAGACCTCAGAGGAGAAAAATTCATGATGAAAAGAAGAAGGTGGATTATCAATCTGTCAACAATTGAGAACAGAGCATGAGAGTTGTTGATAGAGGTAGAAATGACATTTGAGAAAAAAACTCTCTCTTGCATTTCTCAGTTCAGAATTAAACATTTTGAGTTTATCTTTGTAAATATCTAAATGTGTTTGCAGTTTAGTTTTACGCCACTGATGTTCTGCTTTCCTTCATTCTTTTCCCTTTTCTAACCGACTCTAAATTTCTCCAAGGTGGTTTATGTTTCCAGAGATTACTTTTGTAGTAACAGGAACAATGGTGTCAATAACCTTCTCAATTAAAACATAAAGTTGACAATTAGATCACTCAGAAGTACAGGAGTTTATAGCAGATAAAGGAAAAGCCTGAATAAATTGATCAGCAGTAGTTTAATGCATCTTTTTGAAATGACTTGTTTATAGTTGTTTTTGAGCAGGGAGAAAACTGTCCCAAAAAATACAAAAGTGATCTGAAAGTGTTACATCAAGGACTGAAATTTTAGATATAATGAGTCCTTTAGAAATAATAAGGACCAGAGTTTGTCCATGATTATGTTTGGGTTCCAGGACATGTTGGAGCAGTCTGTAGTTATTCAGGATCTGATGCAGCTCTTTACTGTTTTGATCGAATGGATTGTTGATATGAAAGTTAAAATTGTGTTAGTTCAGCCACAAACACAGAACATGCAGGAAAATGTTCAGAGAGAAAGATGTGGTTCTTTCACTTTTCATAACTTGACTGAGTAAAAACAGAACTGAGCTTCTGAATGCATATAATGCACAATTGTAGATTCCTAAAGGCCCAGAATAATGCGTTTCTGTTGCTTGTTGATTTTATATCACAGAATGACAAGAATGCATCAAAAGCATTGAAAGCACTGATTAAAGTTTAGAAGAGATACGATTGGACAAACTGTTTGAAACAAATTAAGGGCAAAATCACAATATATTTCCAGTAGCTAATTGTGTGTGGACAATTTCAGCTAACTCTGAAACCAGCAACAGAAACATGTTTTCTAATTTCTTCACAAAGCCAATAGTCTTTCTCAGCTTCTCAGCAGTTTGTTCACTGATTTAGTTGATTATGTCCTTGTCTGTCTGTCTATTTACGTAAAAAGTAGTAAAATAGTTGCAGAATTTGAAAAATTAGAATTTATTTGCACAAATTAGATTTCATGGCAAAAATAGTGTGGTTAGAAATCCTGACAAATGGGAAAATAAAACGGTTGGCAACTCAGGTTGTCAGAGACGTTGAATTAATCTTCTCCTTTATTGAGGTATCCCTTGTATTGTTACAAATAATTTCTCTATTTCTTCCAACAGATGCTTCACTTGATCCTGCAGAGATTACTAAACTCAATTCAACAAATTTAAACTGAGCACAATTTGGGTGAGTTGAACTGAGGAATCTTCTGCTTATTATGCTGATGGCGAGAAAAGGGATATCCAAGGAAAATGTTGAAGAGTCAGCTTCCTCATCATTTACTTTATACTATGCTACTATTAACTTGTACTTGTATCAAACTTGGAGAAAAAATTAAACATGTGTCCAATTAATAACTTGTCTGTGGATGCTATTTTGGGACACAACAGTGGAGCAGTCCAGTCCCAACAGTTCCCTCAATAGTACCATAAACAATGGTATCACTTGTACCATTGTTTACCATGTTGTCCTTGTCAAACAATGTCCCTGTCCCTTTACCATCATTCCTCATTTCACAATGAGAACAGCAGTCAAACAGGACAGAGAATTAGGTTTTTTAAATTAGCACTAGATCTGCCAGCCACATTCCTGCACATATACCAACATACACCCAGCCCCATTACACACATCTTCACAAGCTGCACCTCATCATGTTCCTGCACCTTTAGCAGAGACACAGATGCAAACAAATTCAATAGCATCTTCAAAATAACAGCCACAGATTCACCTGCAGCAGAATGTATGAAGAAAATAATAAAACATATTGATAAGAGCTGATCATCATCATCAGTCGTGTTCCTACAATGTCACTGCTAGTGCATGTTTTTGTGCTCAAATAAAGCTGAGGACAATAATATTTGTTCAGGTAAATACATTTTAATATCTTACAGGATGCAGCATTTAATTTTTATCAATTATTCTCCAACAATCATTTTTACAAATACATGTAACCCATTTAGAAAGGAAAGAGAAGAAAAATGTTGATCTTGAAATGTTTCTATGCAGATGATGGAGAGAGAGGAGCAGAGCTGCAGAGAGGGTTGAGACGAGGCTTTATTCACAAGATCCATCTAATGGCCGTCAGAGTTTAGTCATTGTTTACTAAAGTTCTCTGATTGTAAAACCAGTTGGGGACAAACAGAGTTTGGTTTTTGTCAAGAATATTCTGGTTATTCCAGATGAGAAATGTGTGAGGAGAGAAATAATGTTTATAAATTAGAGACCAAGCAAGAAGCATCTGATAATGGGCTGGTTTTAGTTAGACTAACTAGTACTACAGGTTAGTTAACTATATTATAGTCAGTGTTACGGCCCGGCTCAAAAAGCCGCAACAAAATTAGGGGGACACGGCAACCAGTCGATGTTAAGCCCATGAAAGGCTTTTATTTTTAAAAGAATAAACTTGTCTAGGAGACATCAGTAGACGGCCCAAGGGGTGATCAGTCCGGGCCCCTTCAGCCTGATCTCAGACTGGATCTCCGGGTCGTCTGCGTGTGGTGGCTTCTGCAGCCACCCCCATGAATGGACCAGCGCTCCTTATATACCATCCAGGTGTTTGTGATGGAAGCGCCTCCCACATTGAGGACCTTAATTGATAGTTAGTAAATCACATGACACACACAGGACTGTGACAACAGGGCCGTCACACCCCCGCCCATAAAAAGCAGGTTCCTATATGGAACCCTGCTCCAAACTCACCACGTGTAAAACAATCCCAGCCACCATTAGTATGTTGCTCTCATCCAGGTTATACTTAGCCAAGTTGTTTAATGTAGAGATTTCCTCCTCAGCTCACTCTCCAGACCAGCAACTGATGC